TGGAGTGATTCAGATATGAAGTTGAGAGAAAGAAGGACATGGATTTGGAAGGGTTGATGGAGGTAATCCCTGATGTAGTGAGGCTGTTACCTGTGCATAATGTGGAGCTGCTGGTGTTGGACTGGGGAGGACAAGGTCAAAAATCACATGACACCAGGTTATAGTCCAACAGGTTCACAGCTGCCTGTTTCAATTGCATGTGTTCCATCAGACCAAAAGATACAGGAGCAGAATTAGGCCATTCAGCCCATCAAGTCAGCTCCACCGTTCAATCGTGGCTGATAAATTTCTTAACACCATCCTCCTGCCTTCTTCCTGTAACCCTTGATCCCTTTACTAATCAAGAACCTACCTATCTCTGGAATGTATGGGCCTCTTCTAACTTAGTTTACCAAGGTCAAATTTTTCTTAACAGCTCTTTGCCTGGCTTCAAACAGGCTGCTGTATGAACAGTGTGTGGAAAAATCTTTTGCTTGCTTTATGTTTCTACGTTGAGCAGTTCTAGTTTTACTATCTTGTGAAGTTTTTAAGTGTTAATGTTTACTGTAAATGTCACAAAATAACTAAACTAATTGAGGTTTATTCGTAAGGCTTATGTGAAAAATATCTAATGATCGCTTCAGTTTTGTATACTGAAAATGTAACAAATGAAAAGCTCAATCTTGCTGCTGTGTCTTTTCCTCTGCGACCACGTTCCTTTAGAAATCAAAAATCTTCCAATACCAGCCTTAAATATATACAGTGACAGCACATCCAGTATACTAATAGGTTCTTGTTCAAAGACTCCATGTGGCCAATCCAACAACGCTGTGTTCCAACAGAGACTGAAAGAGTACAGTCAAAAAATGTGGAGCTGAAAAGGACAGCAGGTCAGACAGCATCCGAGGAGCAGGAATATCAACGTTCCGACCCGGAACATTGACTTTCCGGCTCCTCAGATGCTGTCTGACCTGCTGTGCTTTTCCAGCTCCACATTTTATGACTCTAGCTTCCAGCATCTGCAGTCCTTTCTGTCTCCAAGTCACTGAAGGAATAGAAGTTGTTCTAGTTCCACTATTCCATTGGTCAGGACGTAAATGAGAAACTTCAGTCATCTGCCCCTTCATCATACCATTGCGCTCCCATGCCAACATTTCTGTCACAGGCCTGCTGCAATGTTCCAAAGAGCCTCCGTGCAAACTGGAAGAATAGCATCTCATGATCCACTTGGGGACCCTGTAGCATCTAGGACTCGACATTGAGTTCAATATCTCTAGATACTGATTCCATCCTTCTACGCTTTTAACACCCCCATCCCGCCTTCCAATTTGGTACTGTTATGACATCTGTTGCTTTTAACGTGGCCAACTCATTTTCACCCACTCTCAGGCCTGTTATCACATTACGTGGTTAGTTTTCAGCACAGACTACCCATTCTCTGCTACCCTCAGCTCTCATTATCACTTAATCAGCTTCTCTTCTGTACTGGCCTGCCATCCATAATTCCCTCATTTACCTACCCCTTTCATATCTCTCTCTTTCTGGGCTCCAGCTCCATTGATCTGCTCCCCTCTTCCCCCACCCCTGCCTCCACCAAACCCATGTTCAGCATAAATTCCAGTTTTTCATAGAATCCCTGCAGTGTGGAAACAGGCCCTTCGGCCCAGCAAGTCCACACCGACCCTTGGTGCATCCCACCCAAACCTGAACCCCTATAACCCACCTAATCTACACATCCCTGAACACTACGGGCAATTTAGCATGGCCAACCCACCTAACCTGCACACCTTTGGACTGTCCTAGTGCTATCAGTTCTGATGAAGAGTCACTGGATACAAAACGTTAACTTTAGTCTCTACCCACAAATGCTGCCAGACCTGCTGAGTTTCAGCAGCAATTTCTTGTGTTTTTTTTTCAGATCTCCAATATCCACATTTCTTTGTTTTATTTATCTAAGTTAAAAATACTTTTTTCCAGTTACCAAGATCACCAAACACGTAGTCAAGTTTAAAACAACAAAATCTGTCAACTAGGTTTCTTAATAAACACAATTATTGGTGTGCTGTTGAAACTGAACTTATTCAGTTAAATGCAACAACTGGTTGATGGACGTGAACAATAATGTTCTAGTGTTAATGTTTATCCCACCGAATATATACCCTCATTTCTCACACACGCTCACTGTTCAGGGAAAAAGATGAATAGATTTCATTGCAGAGTTTGGGTTTCTGACTTTGACCGACAGGTTGTTCTTGAAGTCAAAAGCATAAAGTGTGAAATGTACTGCAGGCTGTTGCTATGATGTTCTGGTTGCCGTAGTCAAGTTACTGGTCACACATGGTTGTCTCTGAAGATTTTGTAGATACAGTTTGTTGAGGAAATAAGATTTTGAGATGTTTCTTTGATTGCCCTTTCAAAAGAACAAATTATTTTCACTCAAAAGCTATGCCTGCTAAGCAATATTAAATATTAAGTATTTTCATAACATCTGTGTGACCTCATCAAGCACATGAGAATTGTGGTGGGTGGGCAACATCTTCAGAAATATATTTCACTCATTTATCTGAAATTTAGAAGTTCAAACTTATCCCTGTTGAATTGAACCTGACCTTTAGAACTGTGTTTCAGCCCCTTACATTTTCCTCATGATTTCAGGTCTCATCACCTTTGACCTAGTAGGGTAACACCATTTGCTTTGACCAATTGAGTTTCCATTTTTCATTCAATCCAGGTTTCTCGATCTTTCTTAAAATGGAAAGCTAACGTGCCCTATCTCATTCTCTGGAGTAAAACTTATTCCCTGTAAGTTAGCCACTTGCCCACCACAACCTGTCCACATTTTATATCTGGTCACATTCCCATAAATTTGCCAATGAAATAGTCACTTGTAGCACTAAAGGAATCCATTTGGCCCTCTGAGTCTGTGCTGGCTTTCTGCAGAGCAATCCAGTCAATTTCACTCTCCTTCCCCAAGCTCTGCACATTCATTTCATTCCTACCTTATCTAAACCAGTCATAATATTTCTACTTCTATCAAATATTTTTTACTCCAAGGAGAATGACACCAGCATTTCCAACTCAACCTTGTAGCTGAAATCCTTAATTGCTGGAACTTCTGGTAGATATCCTTTGTACTGTCTCAAGGACCTTCACACTCTTCTTAGTGTGGTGACCAGAACTGGATGCAAGCATCTAGTTGGGGCCTGACCAGAGCTTCATAAAGATTAAGTATAAATTCACTGCTTTTGGACTATATCCATTCATTTGTTCAGAGATAGTGAGAACTGCCGATGCTGGAGAAACTGAGACAACAAGGTGTAGAGCTGGATGAACACAGCAGGTCAAGTAGCATCAGAGGAGCAGGAAAGCTGATGTTTTGGGTCTGGATCATTCTTCAGAAATGGGGGAGGGGAAGGGGATTCTGAAATAAATAGGGAGAGGGGGGTAGGGGGATGGAAGACGGATAAAGAAGAAGATAGGTGGAGAGGAGACAGGCAGGTCAAAGAGGCAGGGATGGAGCCAGTAAAGGTGAGTGTAGGTGGAGAGTTAGGGTGGGGATAGGTCAGTCCTGGGAGGACGGACAAGTCAAGTAGGCGAGTTGAGGCTGGTAGGTAGAAAATGGGGGTGGGGCTTGAGGTGGGAGGAGGGGATAGGTAGGAGGAAGGACAGGTTAGGGAGGCGGGGATGAGCTGGGCTGGTTTTGGGATGCAGTAGGGGGAGGGGAGATTTTGAAGCTTGTGAAGTCCATATTGATACCATTGGGCTGCAGGGTTCCCAAGTGAAATATAAGGTGCTGTTCCTGCAACCTTCGGGTGGCATCGTTGTGGCACTGCAGGAGGCCCAGGATGGACATGGCGTCCAAGGAGTGGGAGGGGGAGTTGAAAAGGTTCGCGACTGAGAGGTGCAGTCGTTTGCTGCGAACCGAGCGTAGGCGTTCCACAAAGCAGTCTCCAAGCCTTCGCTTGGTTTCCCCGATGTAGAGGAAGCCACATCGGGAACAGCGGATGCAGTATACCACATTAGCAGATGTGCAGGTGAACATCTGTTTGATGTGGAAGGTTTTCTTGGGGCCTGGGATGGGGGTGAGGGGTGAGGTGTAGGGGCAGGTGTAGCACTTCGTGCAGTTGCAGGGAAAAGTGCCGGGGGTGGTGGGGCTGGAGGGGAGTGTGGAGCGGACAAGGGAGTCACGGAGAGAGTGGTCCCTCCGGAAAGCAGATAAGGGTGGGGAGGGAAAAATGTCTTTGGTAGTGGGGTCAGATTGCAGATGGCGGAAGTGCCGGAGGATGATGTATTGAATCGGAGGTTGGTGGGGTGGTACATGAGGACGAGGGTGATTCTGTTTTGGTTATTGCGGGGAGGGGGTATGAGGGATGAGTTGCGGGAAATGCAACACATGACCAGAACTGAACACAATATTCCAAGTGGGTCTAACCAGAATTTTATACCAGGTATCACGGAAACACCAAAGTGTTATTTTATTCTGTGTAAATCTGAGCAATAGCCAATCATTGTTGCAACAAATTCACTTGACCTTGTTATTGTACAGATACCTACTTTAGGATTAACATTATGTAGAGGATAAAATTTCAATCCCTGGAAGTTTATATGGGAAGACCAAGAACTATAATATGTAGGAGCAGACATAAGCCGATCAGCCCATGGAGTCTGCTTCACCTTTCAAGCTAATTTGATAATCCTGAACTCTACTGCTGTTTTCCTCAAACTTTAATTCCCTTACTAATTAAAAATCTATGTGTCTCAGCCTTGAATATAATTAATGACCAAGTCTCAATGGCCTTCTGTGGTAAAGAATTCCATAGATTCACTACATTCTAAGAGAAGAAATTCCTCCTTATCCTTGTCTTAAATGTGTAACCCCTATTGTGATGGTCGTAGACTCTCCCACAAGGGGGAAAATATTTGTCACACCTTCTAAGATCCTGCACTTAGCTGATTCACTGCTATGGTGCACGTGATTATATGATTGCAGCTAACTTATTGACATACTTCCCCTGTTACAGAAGAAGCTTCAGTTAGAACTTGCTCTTGCTTCAACTACAAGGAATGACGTTAAACTTCTGTCTCCCGCACTTCAGCCCAAGGATTCAGTGCAATAAGGTAAAGAGTCATTTTGATCTGCAATTAGCTGAATTTGCAAAGAAATGTAGAACCTATCTTGCTAATAGCTTGTAAAACACCTCTGTTTATCTAAGGGTTGTTTTTCAAGGTAACAGGATGGGAAGTGGAATGGTGTTTGCTGAAGAACAGCTGGTTTCTCTGACTGCATTTACAAAGTAATTATTTTCTCACCCGTGACCACAGATTAAGGCACTGGCTGATACAATTTACTCCAAAATGTAATTAAGTCTCTTTTTTTGGGAGTAGAAGTGAAATATCCCATGACATTATTCAAAGTAGACCACAGATTAGACATCTATGAAAGGGAGTGGGTAAGGCAAACAACAAAGATAAAGCTAACTAAACCTGAGAGGGAGAAAGGCATAGAATATGCCAATAGGATGAAGATGACAGGGAGCTCATTGCAGAGCACAAGCAGTAGCATGGAGCAATTGGGCTAATTGACCTATTCCTGTACTCTGGATGGTATGTAACTGTATGTTACAACGGAATTATATTATCAGAAACAAAAAGACATGATGCCGGCACTGATACTCAAAAGTATAGAGCAATTACATTTACTATATTAACTATAACTGGACACCAAAGCAGTTCATATTCTCCTGTCTCATCCTCAGGAGAAGATGCATCAGCCATCCTGGTGTATGCTGCTTGAGAGAGGTTACTGAATTAACAACAGTTGTGCCAAATTAATTGGCACTACGTCTATAAACATCCACTCCCTTCACCACCGACGCTCAGTAGCAGCAGTGTGTACAAGATGCACTGCAGAATTTCACCGACGATCGTCAGATAGCACCTTCCAAACCCACAACCACTTCTAGCTAGAGGACAATGGGAGCAGATGCCAGGCAACACCACAACCTGCACGTTCCCCCTCCAAGCCCCTCACCGTCCTGACTTGGAAGTATATTGCCATACCTTCAGTGTCACTGGGTCAAAATCCTGGAATTCCCTCCTTAAAGACATTCTGGGTCATTGACTAGAGCACATCAACTGCAGCAGTTGAAGAAGGTAGCTCACCACCTTCTTAAGGGCAACTGGGGATTGGCAAGAAATGCTGGCCCAGCCAGCAATGCCTACATCTCCTAAATGAATGAATAAAAAATAAATTGTGAGCAGCTTTGTGAATGACCTCTCGGGACGTGTTATTTCTTGAGGAAAGAATAGTTAAGTTAAGCATTTATTGCTTCATTTTTAGTGGACTGCTAACGGCAGCCGATGTGAAATGAATTTTGTCTGCACCATTTTCAGTACTTACTTCTCATTTCCCAATAGCCACTTGTTGTGGAGAACCTTTAAAGCCTAAGCTGCCAGAATGCTGCTCAAATGAGGCAAAAAAAATACGTTGACACAGATTTGTTTCGTACTGCCTTTCGGTTTCCAATTATCACGTGAACTGAAAACATAAGCAAACTGATGCTATAAAAATCACTCAAATGGTTGTAGACCACTCTGGTCACAGAGCCCAGTATTAATGAGGAGAAGGAATAGCTCAGGGAGCAGTCGGGTTAAGCCAGGGATGTAGCAGCACTGTCCATCTTAATGCTTGAGCTTCCTTGAAGTAACTTGCAGACGAGCTGCATTGTCAGGCTAACTGATGGCAGCACTCTGGAGATAGATTCCAACAGTTCACGGAGGCTGCGATAAGGTTGACTGGATGTAGGGGTGGGCTAATAGCCCACGGTATGAGGGATGCGCAGAAGAGCATGCCTGTCTCGGAATCTGGCTTCTAGCTGGTTTTGCCAGACTGAGGAGCTGATACTATCCTTAGACTCCCCAAAATCAGCAGCTCCCCCTCCCCACTCCAAACACACCACCTGCTGAGGCTCCACCTGGACAGGGGGAGGGAGTGAGACTAATTGAGTTGCTCCTGCATGGAGCCAGCACCGGCAGGCATGGCCCTCTTCTGTGCCAAAACCATTCAAGGATTTGATAATTGTAGATGACTAACTGCATATTTGAAACAAGGCCTCCCACTGCTTTTTTCACAAGAGCAGGTTAATAACAGGGCATAGGGAGATGGTAGAAAAGTCAGAGGAGGTAACTAACCCCATTAATTAAACCAAATCCCCACCCTCACTCAGTTTCTCGCTGGGCTGGGTAGATAGGTAAAATCAGGGGCAGGAGTACGCTTACAGTATATAGATACAGGGGCCATTCATGCCAGAGTTTAGTTCCATTTATCACACCAAGTTTTAAAAAATATTTATTCATTACCCTTAAAGCTGTTCCGTCACTGTATGCGGGAGGGTATTGCATTGCATTCCACTACATAGTACCTGCCCACTGCATTTAAAAAAAAAGTTTCTGCCTCCATTCTTTTTAACTTTGTTCTCCAATCGCTGAATCACAGACCAGTTGGAAACGGTTTCTCCCATGATTTTTTATGACAATCTCTTGTTACTTTGGACACTTGTATCTGCTTCCTCGTCATCTTCCTTGTTCACCACGAGGTGGGGCATTTGGAACAGTGAAGCATTCTTTTCAAAGTAGAGCCCACCAGCTGGGAGCTCAGCATCGAAAAGCTATGGGGAACAGGCTCTCTATTTCAATAAGTAATGTACCAAAAGCTGGGAAGACGCACTGTGGGGTTGAAATGGAAGCTCATTAATTCGGTATTTCTGATCATGCAGTATGGTGGGGTGAATGTTTTTGGATTCACTAATTACATTGAATGTACAGCACAAAAATACAAGATTCAGGATGTGGGGCAAGATTTGATGGAGTAACTACCAGGAGGATATTTCACTTTGTGGGGACAGCTGGAACTGAGGGGCACAGTTGATTCAGTGCACTTAATATGAACATGGCCGGTCCTTTATCTCAATACCATATTCCCATTCTCTTTCCATGCCCCTTGATGCTTTTAATATCTGAAAATATGTCTCTTGAATACATTCACTGACTTGACCTCAATAGCTTTCTGTGATAGTGAATTCCATAGGTTTACTACCCTTTGAATGAAGAAATTTCCTCAACTCAGTCCGAAATGGTCTACTGTGCATCCAGAGACTGTCCTGATTGGTCTTAGACTCCCCAGTGAATAGAGAGCAGATGGTCCTCTTGGACATATGGGTCAATAATAAATGAGCATAATTTTGAAGTGAAAGGTAGGAGGTTAAGAGGCAATTTGAGGAAAAACCTTTTTACCCAAAGGGTGGTGCGAGTCTGGAATGCACTGCCTGGGAAGCTAGTTGAGGCAGGAAACCTCACAACTTTAAAAAGTACTTAGATGAACACTTGAAGTGTCACAACATTCAAGCCTTATGAGTCTGGTGTGGGAAAATGGGACTAGTGTAGGTAGTAATATAATTTTGGTAGTATAGGCTTGATGGGCCAAATGGCGTCCCTTGTACTATATGATTCAGGGAAAGGATCTTCCCTGGATCTAGTCTGTCCAACCGTGCTAGAATTTTGTGTTTCATTTACATTCCCTCTCCCTCTCATCCTTCAAAACTCTAATGAATACAGAGATAGTAGGAACTGCCGATGCTGGAGTCTGAGATAACACAGTGTGCAGCTCGAGGAACACAGCAGGCCAGGCAGCATCAGAGGAGCAGGAAAGCTGACGTTTCAGGTCGGGACCCTTCTTCAGAAATGGGGGAGGGGAAGGGGATTCTGAAATAAATAGAGAGAGGGGGAGGCAGTGATAGCAGGTAGATAGTAGAGCGGATAGGTGGGAGAGAAGATCGACAGGTCAAAGAGGCGGAGATGAAGCTGGTAAAGGTGAGTGTAGGTAGGCAGTGGTGGGATTTGTCAGTGAGGTAGGAGGAGCAGATAGGTGGAGGAGAAGACGGACAGGGCAATGAGGTGGGGATGAGAGTGGAGGCTGGTTTTGGGATGAGGTCGGGGGTGGGGAGATTTTGAAGCTAGTAAAGTCCACATTGAGACCATTGGGTTGTAGACTTCCAAGGCAGAATATGAGGAATATGCCGTCCAAGGAGTGGGAGGGGGAGTTGAAGTGGTTCGCAACTGGGAGGTGTTGTCGTTTGTCACGAATTGAGCATAGGTGCTCCACAAAGTGATCTCCGAGTCTCTGCTTGGTCTCACCGACGTAGAGGAGGCCACATCGGGAACATCGGACACAATAGATCACATTAGTGGATGTGCAGGTGAGCATCTGTTTGATGTGGAAGGTTTTTTTGGGGCCTGGGATGGAGGTGAGGGGGCAGGTGTAGCACCTCCTGCGGTTGCAGGGAAAGGTACCGGCGATGGTGGGGCTAGTGGGGAATGTGGAGCGGACAAGGGAGTCGCGGAGTGAGCGGTTCCTCCTGAAAGGAGATAAGGGTGGGGAGGGAAATATATCCTTCGTAGTGGGGTCAAATTGCAGGTGGCAGAAGTGGCAGAGAATGATGCATTGAATTCCCGAACCACTTCAACTCCCCCTCCCACTCCCAAGATGACATGTCCATCCTGGGTCTCCTCCAGTGTCAAAGCGATGCCACCCGGAAACTAGAGGAACAGCACCTCGTATTTGCCTTGGAAGTCTACGACCCAATGGTCTCAATGTGGACTTAAAAATCTCCCCACCCCCGACCTCATCCCAAGACCAGTCCCCACCCTCTCAAGCCCTCCTCATTGACCTGTCCATCTTCCCTCCCACTTATCCGCTCCTCCAACCTCACTGACCAATCCCCACAACCACCTAGCTACTCACCTTTACTAGCTTCATCTCCACCTCCTTGACCTGTCCGTCTTCTCTCCCACCTATCTGCTCCACTATCTACCTGCTATCACCACCCCCCCACCTCTCTCTATTTATTTCAGAGCCCCCTTCCCCTCCCCCATTTCTGAAGAAGGGTTCCGACCCGAAACATCAGCTTTCCTGCTCCTCTGATGCTGCCTGGCCTGCTGTGTTCCTCCAGCTCCATGCAGGCCCTGTCTGTCTGCATGAGATAGTGTTGGCATTCTTGATGTCAGCCCAGTGAACCTATGCTATAATTCCCCCTATCAGAAGTATATCTTAGGCAGCTGGGCCATCCACTTCGATAGCTCCCCCAGTGGTTTCTTTGGAAGTCAGCTGGGAAGCAAGAATGGGGACCTAATAACAAACCTCCCTCCCCCTCCTCTCCCTTTACAAGGAGAGGTTGTAGGTAATGTCCAGTTGCTACCTGGCCAGTGCCGCTGGAGTGAGCAATTGGGCCTGACCTTCCTGTTGCTTGACCCAATAGCTCTGTGATGATGAATTAACTGGAGGAGGTTTCTAATACATCAGGTGCACGGTGACAAAAGTGCTCTATCTTTTATCATCTTTTTGCCCAGGTCTGTGCTGATGGCTTTGAGGTGAGCAATCTGATATCTGCGGACCCTGTGAAAAGAAAATGTGGATTCCGTGCTGAATACTTCATCAAACCTCCTGTACACGTTACCATTTCATTCCCGTTTAACATGGAACTGTGTAAGATTGACATAGATGTGTCGGCCAACTTGCAAAACTCTTCGAGATTGGATATTTATACGTGTGCCACATCTAATAAGGATATGACATGGAATGGAGTTTCCACACCCAGCTCTCCACTGGCAGACCAGACCTTTTCTGACAATGATGTTTTTACTTTAGTGGGGAAGGCCACATTGAAAAACCAAAACAAAGTGTCCTTCAGACATAAAGCTTTTAAATCCAGGGCTCCTTTTCATGAATTTACTGAGCATTCTGCAGTTGCTGATGGTACCTTTGTGCAGGATTTGTGGAATAAGGGTCAGTTTTCACTGACGAATATAAACCACCTCAGGATCTGCATTAGTTATGTGTCCGGTGGAAGTTTGCCGTGCTTAAGGAGGGTTGACATATGGGGCCAACCGTCTCGGTCTTGCCCTCGTGAGGTCATAGAAAGTGCCTTCAAAGTTTATCAGAAATACAAAGCTGGACAATCAGTTCCATTAGTCACGCAGAAAAACGTTTCTGTCACACAATCTAATGAAACACAGAGAGACAGCCTACAACCAGATGTTAATGGATCTTCAGTGGCTCATGGGAATGTTCCAGAAGAATTTCTGGACCCCATCACTTCTGAGATCATGGTCCTCCCAACGTTGCTTCCCTGTGGGAAAGTGATTGATCAGAGTACTCTGGACAAATACAATCAGTGTGAAGCCACATGGGGCAGACTTCCAAACGATCCTTTCACAAACGTTCCCTTCAGCCGGAATTCCAAACCAATCCCTCACTCGACTCTGAAAGCAAGGCTGGATTATTTCCTGCTGCATACCACGATACCGGATCGCGCTGTCGTGGGGAGGACTCATGTTGGATTTGTTGCCTCGTCTGCAGTGAAGAGAAAATCAGATTCCCCACAGGGCGTAATCACAAATCCAACCTCAGAAGGACTAAATGTGGGCATTAGTGGGAACTCTGCTGCTGTGCTAGACTGTGGTGAAAAGCGATTCAAAACAGAAACGAAAAAAATGCAGGAGCCCGCACAAGATTTGGGTATAACTATCTTTCATTTTTTTCCTCTGTCACTTATAGAAAATAGAACAGTACAGCACAGGAACAGGCCATTCGGCCCACCATGGCTGTGCAGACCGTGATACCATTCTAAACTAATCCCATTCATTTGCAAATGGTCCATATCCCTCTGTTCCTTGCCCATTCGTGTGTCTGTCTAAATGCTTTTATCTTCTGAAGGGTTTGATTTTTGATAGTGTCAGCAATCCTCCAGCAAGTGATCATTCCTCATGGGAGTGTTGAGAAATTATAGGAAAAGTGGCATTTTGCATAGTTTGCCTTCTGCTATCCTGGTAGTCACATGATAGAAGAATAATGTAATTGTGGACCTAAGCTGGCAATCAGTCTGTATCAAACAATAAATACAAAAAGGAATTTAGGAGAAAATTATTTATTTGCTTTTCATCATTTATACAAATGATTCGGATGTGAACAGAGGAGGTATAGTTAGTAAGTTTGCAAAATTGGTGGTGTAGCGGACAGCGAAGGTTACCTCCGAATACAACGGGATCCTGATCAGATGGGCCGAGGAGTAGCAGATGGAGTTTAATTTAGATAAATGTGAGGTGCTGCATTTTGGAAAGGCAAATCAGGGCAGGACTTATACACTTCATGATAAGGTTCTGGAGAGTGTTGCTGAACAAAGAGACTTTGGAGTGCAGGTTTATAGTTCCTTGAAAGTGGAGTCAAGGGTAGACAGGATAGTGAAGAAGGCATTTGGTATACTTGCCTTTACTGGTCAGTACATTGAGTATAGAAGTTGGGAGGTCATGTTGTGACTTTACAGGACATTAGATAGGCGGAACACCGTGTGCAGTTCTGATCTCCCTTCTGTAGGAAAAATGTTGTGAAACTTGAAAGGGTTCAGAAAAGATTTAGAAGGATTTGTTGCCAGGGTTGGAGAGTTTGAGTTACAGATAGAGGCTGAATAGACTGGGGCTATTTTTCCTGGAGTGTTGGAGGCTGAGAGGTGAGCTTATAGAGGTTTATAAATTCATGAGGGGCATGGGTAGGGTAAATAGTCAAGGTCTTTTCCCTGGGGTGGGGGAGTCCAAAACTAGAGGGCATAGGTTTAAGGTGAGAAGGGAAAGATTTAAAAGGGACCTCAGGGACAACTTTTTCACACAGAGGATGGTGCGTGTGTGGAACGATCTGGCAGAGGAAGTGCCGGAGACTGGTACAATTACAACATTTAAAGGCATCTAGATGGGTACATGAATTGGAAGGGTTGAGGCAGTATGGGCCCAAATGCTGGCAAATGGGACTAGATTTATTTAAGATATCTGGTCAGCATGAACAAGTTGGACCAAAGAGTCTGTTTCTGTGCTGTATATCTCTGTGACTCTATGGAGAGTTGTGAGCATATGGAACTCAGGGGTAAGTAAACATAGATACATTCAAGAGGAAGTTACGTTACTGCAAAGGGAAAAGGAATGATAGATAGGTTAAACTGAAGTGAGATGGAGGAGGTGGTTCATGAGGAGCATTGACCCTGCCACAGACTAGTTGGACTGAATTCACCATATCTGTGCTGTCAAATGCTATGTAATTAATCTCCAACAGAGCCAGAAGGGAAATGAGAGGAACCCTAAGTGGTTGAGAGATTGGGAGCCAAATTCTTTCCAAGCTTGCTCCAATTACCGTGCATCATGTCAACATAGTCGGATAATGTATTTCTTCATTTGAGTTGGATCAAGCTGTCGCCTCCACTCAGGTACAGTTTCCAGCAGGTTCACTGGACTGAAGTCAGGAATTGTAAACCAACTTGATTTACATTTCTTTCCTCAGCATATGGATTCACTTGTAATATCCATACCACCACCCCAACTAACATTAGCTCACACAATTGGGAAATTATATCTTCACTGTGTAGACCAAATGTCTTCCTTGCTTGCCCCTCTGGTATGTGACAGTTTTCTTTTTGCCCTTTTGATTTAACTGCTGTACTATAATTTTAATGGCTGCATCTGTTTTTTGTAATCTTGCCATTGGTGCCTGGATATGTAGCACTTCAAAGTGTCACACTTCAGTTACCAGGAGAGATGGTTAAATTCAACAGTTGGAGATAGTGACTTCTGAGGAAGGGTCACCAGACCCAAAACATGAACTCTGATTTCTCTTTACAGATGCTGCCTAACCTGCTGAGCTTTTCCAGCAACTTCTGTTTTTGTTTCTGATTTACAGCATGTGCAGTTCTTTTGGTTTTTTTAATTGGAGGTAGTGATTCCTTGCCACTTGAGATGAACATTACTTGTGTATAAGTCATTTGGTTTTTGTTTGTATCTCTAATAGGTGCGGTTTCCCATGAGCAGAGATTGTCACAAAGTCTGGATAGTGCTTTGACTTCTGCCTTAAGTACTCTCCCATCCTTCACTGTTCAGCAAAGACAAGACCAGCAACAGCCAGCAGTTGGCAGCATCTCTGCCTGCACACAAGGTACTGCGTGTGGGGCAAAAGCTAGTTTGTATTGCTGGAATAGTATCAGCTCAAACTCCTGTCGGAATCACAGTGCAGGAATCACATATGGTAAGACACAGCATGTTGCAAAATCAGAGCTGTCTTCTTTTTAGAATGAGATATTAAGTCAAGACCCAGTGGCATGTTAAGGTTGCAGCAGAATTCAAGGATTAGCAAATGTCCTGGCCAAACCCCACCCCCTCAAAAAGCACCAACATAACCAGATCATTTGGGCATATACCTGTTCACAAGTTGACCTCTGCATTTGCCAGGACAGACAGTGGTGCCTGTTCCTCAAAAGTACTTCATTAATTGTAGGGCTTTCATAGTCCTGAGCACTTAATAAGGCATTATATATGGAGTCAGGTTTACTGAGCCATTTCAGAAAGTTTTTAAATAGGAAGGAAACAAAACCAGTAGTTCACCTGCCAGGAACTGACACTGAGAGGATAGGTGTGGAAGATAGCAGAATGACAAAAGGATACTGTAAAAAGTGGTGACAGCTGTGAAATTCCTACCTGTAATGTGCATTTTAATCTCAATATCAAGAACCAATTGCCTCAATTCCTTTGGATAAAATGCTACTTCGTTTTGCAGTTTGTCTCATTGAAACTTAAAGAATACTGAGAGGTTTGGATAGAGTGGACGTGGAGAACATGTTTCCACTAGTAGAAGAGACTAGGCCCAAGGGGACAGCCTCAGAGTGAAGCCACAACCCTTTAGAACTGAGAAATTCCGTGTCGCTGGTCATGGGCCCTGTGGCTCCTTGTGTGGCTGAGCCCAATCCTAGAGCCACATCACCGACCACACATTTGGCAGGTGTTTCTGGAAGTTGGAACTGGTCCTTGATCTTGAGATCATTAGCATTCCTTTCTGCAGTTCCTTTTTCACATTTCCTCTTGCTGACTGATGTTCTCAAAGAATTCTACAGGAGGTTCCTCAAAGTCAGTTTCTTCTGAACAAGGGTCTTTCATGCGTTGAGATTTTCTTTGCATTTCTTAAGGGAATCTTTCAGGGAGTCTTTGAAACACCTCCTTTCGCTTCCTCTTGTTTGAGTACTTTCCCTTCCTCTTGTTTGAGTACTTTCCCTGAGCTGGATGAAAATGATTTGCTTTGGTAGTTGGAACTCAGACATGCTAAGCACGTGTCCAGCCCAGTGGAGTTAGTTTTAGATGATCATGGCCTCAATATGGTTCTGTTAGCTGCTCCAAGGATGCTGATGTGAACAATCCATCTCAAACAGGAACAAGAACAAAGTTTCTGGAAAAGCTCAGCAGATCTGGCAGCATCTGTAAAGGAAAAAAAAACCAGAATTAACGTTTCGGGTCCGGTGACCCTTCCTCGGAACCCATCTCAAACAGCATTGATGATACTTCTCAGGAGTCTTGAGGTGGGTCTATACATAGACCAAGTCTCAGAGCCATATAGAAGAGTTGGTAGGATTACTGCCTTATGCACGAGGATTTTGGCATCAGCACAGATGGCACAGTCATCAAAGACTCTCATCTTTAGGCATTTGTCAATGGCACTCACAGATTGGACGTGATGTTGAATCTCACATTGATGTTAGCCTTACATGAGAAGCAGCTTTCCAGGTGAAGGAAATGTTCTATGTTTGGGAGGATTTCTACTTTTATCTTAATGGAAGAATGGACCTGAACTTGACCTGGGACAGGTTGGTGAAGACCATTTCTGAGGTGAAAGCACTAAATGGTTGCTTGGAGAATGCATAAAGCTGCAGTTTGAGCTGAGAATCCACCTTTGTAAAGTCTTGAAGAAATGTTGGAGCATTGCTTAACTAAAAGTTAATGAAAGGATACCCATTTACTTTCCTACATCAAAAAATAGTTTGAACGTTAAGGAGAAACCACAGTGAATTCCTGAAAGCTGTGGCAGTTTGTTCTCAGAAAATGAAGAAACCTTCAAAAGTCTGATGAGTAACCACAGAAGTTCTAGCGGTTGAGGTCTGGGAGTAGGGGTAAAAGGGTCTCAGGTAAAAAGTGATGGTCCAAAGATAATTCTGGTTTAGTATTTAAATGAGTCTGTTTGCTTAAGCTTTTTGATGTAAATTGTTAATAGTTGTCTAAGATAGTGTGTTTATTTAATAGTTTAGCTTTATGTGTTGTACAGTAACATTCATTTGTTTTAAAGCATGGAATCTTTTGGCACATTTTTTCAGTTGATCATGGCATGTTCAGATTTCTTTTAAATGTTTACTCTCTCTACCAGGATTGTAACAGTTCCTCAGGACCGTTCTAAGGAAGGGTCACCAGAACCGTAACATTAACTCTGATTTTTTTTCTTTTCAGATGCTGCCAGACCTGCTGAGCTTTTCCAGCAACTTCTGTTTTTGTTGTGACACTAGAATTTGATTCACATTGCATTTCCCTGAGACACCAGAATTGAACAGGAACAGATGCCACCTTAAATCCTGCTTGGGCATGACATAATCTTCGAAATGCTTTGAAAATAACATGTTGTTTCTTTCTCCACAGAATGGATTCCAGCCAGTTCTGATGAAGCATGCATCTCCTGCAAAAAGTCATTCTCTGCATATTCCCAGAACATGGTTGTATACAGACTGCTCTGTGGGCACCTGATCTGCAGAGTCTGTCTGTCGGAGAGACAGAAATCTTCAGCACCGTCCTGTTTGAAATGTAACCGTGCAATCTGTACTAGTGATGTGGTGCGGGTTCATCTTTAGAGTTGAGGCACTTTGAGCCGTTCTGGATGTGTTTGGCAGTCTAATGTGACTTGCATTCCACTACAGCTAGCAAAATCAAATAAAGAACATTTAAATGTAAACCTTTCTGACATTCAAAATGCACTGTTTTCAATACTGATGTTCTGTAACAGATTTCAATTGCATTCACGTCTGGGATTACACTTGAGAATTTATTAATGTTGCAGCATTGGGGGTTATGTTGGTAGCTTTGTAATACACCAGAATTTGGTTTCTAGCTGAATTAACTGATGTGAAACCCCTGTAAGAAGAATGAAAATTCAAAACAGTAAGATGGGATTAAGAGACAGTAAAGCACTCTAAAAGTCCCAAGAAAAGTGAAAGGAATTAATGAGCACAAACCTTGATGGTTTTAGTGCGTTTACATATTTGGAGCTGCCTCAGATCTCTGTCCATCTGGTCTGTCGAACCTGATGGTGATTATTCCCATCATAACCGGTGTTCCCCAGTAAGGCAACAAATCAGCCATGATGTTCCATGGTTGTTCTAGGTTCTTTGAGCTGAAGCATATTTAGGATTGGCTGCTCCTGTTTTTTCATGGAATTTAAAAGAAAAATGCTGATTGTTAAGGTCCAACAAGATAAATATGAAAAGAAGGGAGTTCGAACAGTGAATGTAGAGTTGTAGAAGTTGCCTTCCATTTACCTCATATTTTAGCAGAATTTGGAGTTTGAATTTTGTGAAATAAATAACACCTGACTGAATCTATTAATGACAATTGACTTGTTGTTGCTATCTTAACACAAAGCCTAACATTAGAAAGATCAATTGTGTTAACCAATATTTTGCATATAATTCCTTCAAGTGAGTATATTATTTTTTGATGCAACCTTTTTTTTTGACAAAACTTGTGTAGAAAAATGATTATTTTTCAGTGTTGCAAATTGTCCTGGAAAGCCATGAAATAAAAATAAATCAGCATTAATTTCCTGTTTTCAAATCACTGTGTTGGGGATAATAATGAAAAGCCTATGTGAAAAATTGATTTATTTATTTATTATTATAATGCAGAAAGCACCTGGTTTGAGAAGGTGGGATATCAGAGATCCTACTGGTTAGATGACAGTAAAATTAGGCTTTACTGTAAATTGTACATTTTCCCTGTTTTACATTGATTGTTGTCTGTGGAGTTATTTGAAATTTCGGATAAGTGCTGGGTTTCTTTTGAAAATGCTCCCTCTTACCAGAGGTTAAATTGCATGTTTAATGGCAGTTAAACCGAGTTCTTTATGTGACTTGAGCAGAATTTGAGTTTTCAAGGTTTTGAAGTCTGCAGATCAGACAAAAGGTGTGATAACTGAGGCAGAAGAGGAAGAATGTAGAATGGGACAATTTCCAACAGTGAGAATTGCAAGCAAGACAATTTTTATCCCTTTTTGAAAATTGGAAGAATAAAGCCCCAAAATTAAATGAAACAGCAACCATAGCAGCTTTGCTTAAAACGAGGAACAAAAAAGTGAGATTAGTGGTGAGGGAATGTTGGGTATTGAAAGGCATCTGGATGGGTACGTATACAGGAAGGGTTTAAAGGGACATGGGCCAAATGCTGGCAAATGGGACTAGGTTAATTTCAATCTTATCGGTCTGGGTTTGTTTCCATGCTATACATTAAGAACATAGAACAGTACAACACAGAAACAGGCCCTTCGGCCCACGATGTTATGCAGAGCGTAATGCCAAATTAAACTAATCCCTTCTGCCTGCCCTAGGTTCTTATCCCTCCATTCCTTGCACATTCATTTGCTTATCTAAAAGTCCCTTAAACACTCCTTTCATATCTGCCTCCAGCGCATACCAGACTCATACCACACTTTGTAAACAAAAAACAACTTGCCCCTCACATCTCCTTTGAGCTTTCCCCTGTCTCTGCCCCCTAATATTAGACGTTTGAACTCTGGGGAGAAAGATTCTGACCGTCAACGCTTTCTATGCATCTCTCAATTTTGTAGATTTCTATCCAGTCTCCCCTCAGCCTCAGTTGCTGCAGAGACATAGAGATATACAGCATGGAAACAGACCTTTTGGTCCAACTCATCCATGCCAACTAGATGTCCTAAATAAATCTAGTCACATTTGCCAGCATTTGGCCCATATCTCTCTCAACCCTGCTAATTCATGTACCCATGCATGTGCGTTTTAAATGTTCTTATTGTACCAGCCTCCACTACCTCCTCTGGCAGCTCATTCCATACACGTACCACCCTCTATGTGAAAAAGTCAGCCTTTAGGTCCCTTTTAAATCTTTCTCCTCTCACCTTAAATTTATGCCGTCAAGTTTTGGACTCCCCCACCCCACAGAAAAGAACTTGTCTATTTACTTTATCCAAGCCCTCATGAATTTATAAACCTCTATAAGCTCACCCCTCAGCCTCTGACGCTTCAGGAAAAATAGCCCCAGTCTATTCAGCCTCTCCCTATAACTCAAACACACCAACTCTGGCAACAAATCCTTATAAATTTTTTCTGAACCCTTTCAAGTTTCACAACATCTTTCCTACAGCAGGGAGACCAGAATTGCACACAGTATTCCAATACTGGCCTAACTAATGTCCTTTAGAGCTGTAACATGACCTCTCAAGTCCTATATTCAATGCACTGTCCAACAAAGGCAAGCATACCGAATGCCATCTTCACTATCCTATGTACCTGTGACTCCACTTGCAAGGAATTATGAACCTGCATTCCAAAGCTGCTTTGTTCAGCAACAATCCCGCGGACCTTACCATTAAGTTATAAGTCCTACCCTGATTTGCCTTTCCAAAATGCAGCACCTCATATTTACCTAAATTAAACTCCATCTGCCACTCCTCAGCCCATTGGCCCATCTGATCAAGGTCCTGTTATACTCTGAGGTAACCTTCTTGGCTCTGCACTATGCCTCTGATTTTGGTGTCATCTGTAAACTTACTAACCATACCTCCTATGTTTACATCCAAATCATTTATATAAATGACGAAAAGCAGCAGACCTAGCACTGATCCTGTGGCACATCGCTGGTCACTAGCCTCCAGTCTGAAAGGCAAACTTCTACCACCACCTACCTTTGAATCAGTTCTGTATCCAAATGGCTAATTCTCTCTGTATTTCATGTAATCTAACCTTGCTAACCAGTCTACCACGAGGAACCTCGTTGAACATCATACCGAAGTCTATTTACATCACCTCTACTGCTCTGCCCTTCTCAATCCTCTTTGTTACTTCAAAAAACTCAATCAAGTTAGCGAGACATGATTTCCCATGCACAAAGCAATGTTGACTATCCCTAATCAGTCCTTGCCTTTCCAAATACATGTAAATCCTGTCTGTCAGGATTCCCTCCAATAACTTGCCCACCACCAATGTCAGGCTCACCAGTTTATAGTTCCCTGGCTTTTCCTTACCATCTTTCTTAAATAGCGCCACCACATTAGCCAACTTCCAGTCTTCCAGCACCTCACTTGTGGGTATCGATGATACAAATATGTCAGCAAGGGACCCAGCAATCTTTTCCCTAGATTCCCCAGAGTTCTAGGATACACCTGATCAGGTCCTGGGGATTTATCCACCTTTATGCATTTTAAGATGTCCAGCACTTCCACCTCTGTAGTATCTTCCATATCCTTCTCCACAGTAAACACTGATGCAAAATGCTTGTTTAGTATCTCCCCCATCTCCTGTGATTCCATTCTTAGGTGGCCTTGCTGATCTTTAAGGAGCCCATTCTCTTCCCCCGTTATCCATTTGTCCTTAATGTATTTGTAGAACCCTTTCGGATTCTCTTTAACTCTATTTGCCAACGCTATCTCATGTCCCTTTTTTGTCCTCCTGATTTCTCTGTTAAGTGTAGTCCTACTGCTTTTGTACTCTTCTAGGGATTCACTCGATCTCTGCTGTCTATACCTGACATGCTTCCTTCTTATTCTTGACCAAAACCTCAATTTCTCCAGTCATCCAGCATTTCCTACACTTACCAGCCCCACCCTTCACACTAACAGGAACATACTGTCTCTGGATTCTCGTTATCTAATTTTTGAAGGCTTCCCATTTTCCAGCCTTCCCTTTACCTGAGAACAGCCACCCCCAATCAACTTTTGAAAGTTCTTGCCTAATACTGTCAAAATTGGCCTTCATCTAATTTAGAATTCTAACTTTTAGATCCAGTCTATCCCTTTCCATCACAATTTTAGAACTAACAATTATGGCCACTTGCCCTTAAGCGCTCCCCCACTGACACCTCAGTCACCTGCCCTGCCTTTTTTCCCAACAATAGGTCAAGTTTTGCACCTTCTCGAGTAGGTATATCCACACACTGCATTTTTTTGTACACACTTAACAAATTCCTCCCCATCCAAGCCCTTACCATTATGGCAATTCCAGTCTCTGTTTGGAAACTTAAAATCCTCTACCATAACCACCCTATTATTCTTACAGATAACTGCCGGAGATGTTCTAGACACAAAAATAGAAATTGCTGAAAAAGCTCCACAGGTCTAGCAGCATCTGTGAAGAGAAATCAGAGTTAACCTTTCAGGTCTGGTAACCCTTCCTTGCAACTGATGGTAGCTAGGAAAATGTCAGTTCGTATGCAGAAGATAAGGTGAGGGAGGGGTTAAGGAGTAAATGATAGGTGAGGATAAAGCCCAAAGAGGGAGAAGAACAGTTGGACAGTCAAAGGAATAGATACCGATGTGGCTAGGAGAGTGAATGGCTATTAATGGGGAGTAGGGTAATACTAGTTCTATGTGATAACAAGGCCTGCTGTGTGGGGGTAGGGGCAAGCACATGGGAGCGTTCAAGCCCTAAAGTTATTGAATTCAATATTGAGTCCAGAAAGCTGTAGAGTCCCCAAGCAGAAAATGAGGTGTTGTTCTTCCAGCTTGCACTGAGCTTTGCTGAAGCACTGCAGCAAGCCTGAGACAGAGATGTTGGCCAAAGAACAATGTCTTTTTAAAATGGTGTTCTGCAAAGCCATCACCCAGTCCACGCTTCGTTTCCCCAGTGTAGGGGAGACCATATTGTGGGCAGCAAATGCAGTAGACTAAATTCTGGGAAGTGCAGGTGAAGTGCTGCTTCACCTGGAAGGTGTGTTTGGGCCCTTGGATACTGAGAAGGTAAACAGCCAGGTGTTACCTTCTGCAATTGCAGCAGGAGATGCCGTGGTGCTGTGGGGGTTTGTTGAGAGTGAAGGAAGAGTGGACCAGGGTACCCCAGAGGGAACGGTCCCTGCGGAAGTCAGACAAGGGAGGGGAGTGGAATATGGGTCTGGCGGTGGCTTCTCACTGGAGATGGTGGAACTGGTGGCTCATGATCCTTTGGATGTGGATGCTGGTGGGATGGAAGGTAAGGACAAGGGGAACCCTATCGCTGTTGAGGGAGGAACGAGAGGGAGTGAGGGCCGAAGTGTTCAGACCTGGTTGAGGGCCCTGTCAACTATGGTGCTGGGGAATCCTCGATTAAGGGAGAGAGTGGACATTTTGGATGCTCCCTTGTCGAAGTTGGCATCATCAGAGTAAATGCAACGGAGACAGAGGAACTGGAGAATGGAATAGAGTCTTTACAGCAAGCAGGTTGTGAGGATATATATTCAAGGTTTTTCTAGCCTCTCCTTATAGCTCATACCCTCTCACCCAGGCAACATCCTGGTAAGCCTCTTCTGCACCCTCTCCAAAGCCTCCACATCCTTCTTCCAATGTAGCCACCAGAATCGAACACAATCCTCTAAGTATGGCCGAACCAAAATCTTATAAAGCTGCAACATGGCATCCTGACTGTTATACTCAATTTCCCAACTAATGAAGGCAAGCATGTCATACACTTTCTTTCCAACCCAATCTGCTTATGTGGCTATCTTCAGGGAGCTATGGATTTGAACCCCAGGATCCCTCTGTACATCAATGCTGTTCTGGGTCCTGCCATTAACAGTATACTTTTCCTTAACATTTGATC